AAAGAAGATATCATTTTCAGAAATTGAATGTAATTGATTAGAAATACAAAGTTTTGGATAACTGAGATCATTTCTAATAAATGTAATTGAACTGCTAATAGTGCTTCTTACCTACTTGTCAAATACTTCCTATGATAGACGAACATTAGTTTGAGCAGATGTTTTAGGATGCTGTTAAGCTAGGCAGAGTTTGATTTATTGCTCATGTCTTCAATGTGCTTTATTTGAATATTTAATGAATTATAAATAATGATTATGAGTAGTGCGGTATATTACAAGGTTGTTTTCTGGAGGGGAGTCATTTTTAAATGAACAGCTGCTCCATACTTCCTTTCAAAATTATTCTGTTGCTAACAGTATGCAGATATTAAAATGTATTTTATTTTCTAGTAACAGAATGAGGATTTTTCATCCGTTAGAAGAAGAAGAATGGCTGAAGTGGCTCAGATAAAGGAGGCTCCATGCTGCTAATCTCTGATCAATAAGGGTTTGTTTACTTCTAAAATGGACTATCAATAACTCTCATCATGAAATACTAAGAAATAGTGAGAGGAAATGTGTAATAGACAGGCAACAAATAAAAACGCAGGCAAAATAATGAGTCATTCTGCAGTAATACATTTACTCATGCAACAGGTTGGAGCGGAATGTGAATGGCAGCTTACTGAGAAATCAATCTCTACAGTTGCTGCTGCGATGTACATGCAAGTGTCTGTAAAAAAAAAGAAAAGATTCCACCTCTTGGGGAGTTTAAACAGCGATCCCACCCCTCTGTTAGACACACAACGAATTTAAAATGCTCTCGCATCTTATCTCGTGGCTCCCTTAAGCTATACCGTATACTCTGTTGCACTAGTAAGTCTGATATCGCTTCAGGAGAAAAAATACATCCTAGTCCACATTCAAGCAAAAGTTAATAATTGCTATACAATATTGTAGCGCTAAGAGAACAGCTGATATTTAAATGCAGTGCCTTGAACACATTGAAATAAAAGGCTTCAGCTGATACCAAACAAGTTGTCATTATTTCTTGAAGTGCAAATGGAGAACCTTCTAGTGTTGAATCTTTGTTCACAGGAGCTCTGTCAAAGATAAATCATTCCAAAACATGGAGTCACTCTTAATGAGTGAAAAAACGTCAGATGGAACCAATTTAAGTTAAAGACAATGACTGGCTCTTTAAGGCGGAAAATTAACATAGTTGAGAGACACCTCTGGAATCTGCTTCAATCGCTGGACTAAACGGATCACTTTGAGCCATCGCTCCTCACAGACAGGTGAGGGGGACATGAGGAGTCAGAGAGGGGGGCATCGGATGTGGGTTTAGAGGGGAGCAGTGCACTGCCTCCTGCTATCACTCCGGACAAAACTGGAGTCTAAATTGGAGAGCTTCCCCTACATCCAGGATCAACTGGGGAGTATTAATGGATTCGGAGTGGATCAACTGATGGCTATCGTATTTCGCTGTTTTGACTCAGTGTGCACTGACGACCCAACACACACATGTGCACCACTGTGGTGCAATGCAGATGTTTACACCCACTTCTTGGTCTGTATCCTTTGGTGTGAAAAAAAGGTATTGCAATCAGTTTAACTTTATTAAACAACACTCACATGCAAATGGATTTCTATGAAGTGCACCAATAGTTTAACATGTGTTTCTTGTGATACAGTGCTAATAAAATGTACCACATGAGTAAGGACTCAATCACAAATTCATCACATGTTCTTTGAGCACATTTTCACTCCAGGTGAAGAGAGGTAAAAACAAAAAGGTCTGTGTTTGTTATCAATGGCTTGAACAGCAAATAAAAAAATCATATATATTGTTCTGTGAAATGTGTTTACCGCACAACAACAGGACCCCACAACAGGACAACGCACTTCACAAGTTTGATATGACTCACACAAAGGAGTAACAGTAGTGTCTTTGTCCACACCTTCACAGCCTCGCCTGTTGATAGTCAAACCACACTGCATACTGTTTATATAGGCCAAATATCAATTAACATCAAGTCACACTCTGTTTCCTGGTGTTGCAGGGACACAGCCACCTGCTTTGCTTAACAAGAAAGTTTATAAAAGGTAAAAAAAAATATGGTTCTCTCATTCCTGGTATCAAAATAAGCAACCATTATAAAAAAGTAACAAATACAAAATCAAAATGTCTGAAAGATGTTCAGGTTTGAGTAAATAAACCTAATATTTTCTTCAAACTAAGATGTATTCTTCTAATCAAATAAAGACAATATTCATTAAATAATTATTGATAATCTTTCTACCTAAATCTACTTTTTTTTCTCTGATGTTTTGAGAATGTAATTGTATTTATTATTTGATAACCAAATGATTTAACTATTGATACTTCAAATCTACAATTACAATTAATAGGAGAACATTTCCTTTTGAATAGCATTTTTCTCAGCATCGAAATACAAGATGAATTTATAGGAAATAACCTACATTATTATTACACTTTTTTCACGATTAATTTTGATAAAATCATTTCCTAAACTCAATTAAGGTGCAACTTATGATTCTTTATTTTGCAAAACAAGAACCTTCAAATGCTTTTATAAAGAAAATCCAAAAGATAGTTTACTTCTGCTAAAATGAATTATATCAAAATGATATGAAACCTGACCTATTTGGACTACTCTTAAATGTATAAATCAAAAGTGAAATAACATTACAAAAATAAATACACCATCAAAAATGCATCTATTCTATGTTGATTTTAAATTGCATTGGAAAAGGCCCAATCTTTTCAGATTAAACGTATTTACAAACATAATTGTATTACAAAGATAATTTAATAAAACAATGACAAAGTTAACCCTTAAAATTTGATATAATTTAAATGGTATATCCCACTATGCTTATTAGCACACTAAAGACATTAACCAACAGAAAAACACAATAAAACACAATTAGCAAACACAGCAAAAAGCAGCTGAAACTACAGCAGCCTCACAAAGCCCAAAACTGCCAGCAGGCCTGAAGATGAGCTCCCACATTAATATGGCAGCAACAACAACAACAACTGTCAAATGGTTCATTCCTCAAGCCCTGTCACTATAGTAACCATACATACATTACAAATATAATTCATAACAAAATGTGTACATTATATTATGATCAGAATACAGGATTTAGACATAGGAAATTGTTTAAGCATTCTAAAGTGTACTTAAATATAAATGTTTTTTTCTCAAAATATCTGAGAAAATTCGAATGGATTACATCTACATATTAATTATATTGGAAATGTGCATCAGGTAAATCTCTACAAACACAAGAACAATATCCACTGCAAGACGAAACAACGCATTTTAAGATTTACATTTTTAATTAATGAAAATATGTCTGTAATAATCTCCAAAAGCCCTACGTATTGAATAAACAACGGTAGGAAGGTTTTAACATTAATGTAAATGATCACCGTGGAAAAGCATTAAGTTACACCTCCACGTGAAATTTCGCCCTGATTCGAAATCAAATGAACACCTGTACTTGTCATACGATGCTCTCATGTCGACCTCACAGATATGGCGAAGATTTCACTTTACATGCCTGTTCAGAACATGCGCACACGTCCAGCAGCTCCACACTGCCTATTGGACACATGCAGGCACATGTATGGACATTTTCTCTATCTGATTCCGCCTATAGCCGTGCAGTGTGCAGGGCCATCATGGCAGCCATTATGAGGCTCTCCCAACATTGCCATAGCCTACGTGCACGCTAACTGTGGGGAGTGGCGCAGCATTTTACACCATTTTGCGCCTTGCTTACAAAACGCCTTTAAATCGAGCCATAAAGCGAGGAAACAACACAGCAGCTCGAGTATTGGACACTTTAAAACATGCAGTTGTTTTACTTTACGGTGTGCCACAAGAGAGAGAAAAAAGCGAGGGCTGTAATGCAGGAAAGTGTAGCCTGCACTGAAGGGAGAGGACTGCTGGAAGAATAAAGTATGGGTCACGTGTTTCTCCACAAGGGGCTTGAATATTTACCTTTTTGTCACGCAATGTAGTCTTTCCCTAAAGCCAAAGTCATTGTTGTGAGAGAAAAAAAAAGGTGGAGCTATACGTGTTGAGAGTGTGTATAGGCTGCACAATCTGCCACATACTAAAGAGTGTATTACGCATTACGTAAAGGGGGGGTGTTTAATTATTATTTCCATGCAATTAAATGCTTTTATGTTTTTACACTGCTAGAAACTGACCAAAAGGTTCCTTATGAGGTACAAGTAATGTGTTTTGAATTTCAGAGTAAATACAGATTCGCTCACAAACATTCAACTCGAGCTTTCCTCGCGCACACACACAAACCGTGTTTCTCACATACATACATACATACATACACACACACCCACACATGTATAGGAGAGGCTCAGCTGATTGGTATGCAACTCATCGTGCAATGCAGTAGTCAATATTGAAACCTAACTTTATCGCTTACATACTGGGAAAACAGCCTTGCGGGAAAACTAATTATGTATGTGAAGCAGCATAATACGAAAGTGTGATTACAGCTTATACAAAATCCAATTAAGAGGCCATTATTACATGCATGCGTTGGGTGTGTTTGTGTGTGTCCATGTTTTACAGTGGGATAGGCCTTGCTGCAGATCACGCGATAGGGCAGCAGACACCATGTGTTCTGCGGATGTTGGGATTAAACTGATTCTTTGTCGCTTTATTTCTGTTGTTTAACCACAATACAATTACATGTCCCTCGCCAGTAAATAAAAAATGACCAGGAAAGTGAAAAATCACACACAGAAGCCCAGAGAAGAGGGAAATGTGCGAGCTATATTTCACAGCGGAAGCCTACAGGTCAGTCAGCATGGGGCGGATGATGACACAAAAGTGTGTGTGTGTGTGTGTGTGTGTGTGTGTGTGTGTGTGTGTGTGTGTGTGTGTGTGTGTGTGTGTGTGTGTGAGTGTGTGAGAGAGTGTGAGAGTGTGTGAGAGAGAGAGAGAGTGTAGGCCTACCTTAGTTTTCTTGGAACAGAGTAGTCTATCTCTATCACCTTTCCGTGTAATTCAACATTACCTGTAGAGACGAAAATTGATAGTGTAACATTATCTGTGTGTCATGAAAGCAACAATGCAAGCTGGTAGGCCTACACAGCAACACTTTGAATTACTTCACCAAGTAGGTGCGTCCCCATTCAAACAGCCAACCCCTAGAAAAAGTACTGTACCAGGTCGTGTTGTGCGCAGGGCGGCGGATAAACTACTGGGTATGTTTGGATAAAAACAACCTCACCGAGACATTCTGTTGTTTAAAATGAGTAGAAATCGGCGCCAACATGAAGCATGATAAGCTTTATAGTAGGGGGGAAATGGGCAGCCATGCTTTCCACTCCCACAACCCTCACAGTGCAATGAGGGGTATTTGTTCTGCTCTGTTAAGAATGCAACATCAAAGAAGAGATGGTAAAGGAGAATGACTTGTACTCTTTCTATTCTAGGTAGGTTTCTTTAATTCTCCGTGACTCAGCCGGGGGTGTATTTGAAGCGCTCCTCGGCGAGGCTTGAACACGGGTTTTCGTTATTATGAGTGGCCTGGCGCAGCACGGAATTAGCGTCTCACCTCGTCCCCCCTCAGCTACCTGTTTATTAGCTCTTTCCTCCGGACCCCCATGACCCACCTCCAAGACACCTCGTAAAAACATACCCAGACATCAGAGGAACATGGATCTGACAAGTTTTCCGCGCTGGCTTTGCTGTGCTCTCTTCAATAAAATCAAGATAAAAAATAAGTGAAAAATAATTATGCCGACCCGAACCATCAGACCATCCCATACATTCCAGCGGGTGATTGCAAAGTAGCGCCCCACACTATCGGAATCTCCAAAATATAGGTTATTGTGCACGGTAATGCCGAAAGGACGGCTAGTGTTTTCTTTAGGTAATCGGGCACTAAAGCCCTCAGTGTGTCCTGTGATCGATAAATTATCCATTTTTTTGTTGGAGCGTGCATGGCTGAGCGTTCATCTAAACTCTGATGGCACACGGATGTGATCGCAAACACTGTCCCGAGCAATAATACAAAATAATAATAACAGAAGCAATGATTAATATTTCGGACACACCGAGCAATTATGTTTTAACCTGTTCTTGCAGTTTGACTCGCTGTGAATTGCCCCTGTCACCAACAGCATCACTTATCAAATCCACACTTACCAGAAAGAGTCTCTATAACCTTTATGGCCGAGTTCTGGTCGGGGAAGTCCACAAAAGCATAGCCGGATTTCAGGAGGACCTGGTCGGCCACTGGCAGCTTCTTCTCCCCAAAGAGCTCCTTCAAGTCCTCGACAGTGACCGAAGGACTTAAATTCCCAACATATAGTTTGTTCATGATCTGGAAGGAAAAATCTCGTGGGGATATCAGATCTTAACAGTGAGAGTGGCGATAATTCAGAGTAGTAAAAAAAATAAAAAATAAAATGAAATAGAAAATCTGACGGGTTAAAAAAAAACCTAGGATTTACCCCCCAGGAAATTACTAAACTATAGGCGACCCCCCAGCACCAACTCTGGCCCCGGTCTAACTCTTTTTACAGGGACTGGGGGGAAAAAGTGTCGTTACGACGCTTCTCTGGAGCCAACAAGCACCGCCTCTAAATAAAATCTCCCTTAAAAATCACAAGAAAAAATGTTTGGAGGTGCATGTGCGATCACTCCTGGTTCTCCAGCGTGGAAAGTACATTGGGGAATGAAAGTGTCATGATGATCACTCGGTATATTCAGCAAAGGGATGGGCTTTAAGGAAGCAGAGGGGTTATTTCATCAAATCATAATAAGGGCCGTGCCTTGGGTCCCTCAAGGCTGGAAGAGAAGAAAAAAAAAGAGCCACTGTGCGGAAAATCAAGTCGTTGTCACTGTACTTGTCGGCCCAAACATTGTCACTGATCCCCACAGTTTGCCTCTTATTTATTTATGAGACACAGAAATATGGATTTTATAGAGCTGTGGACGCAGGGGGTCCGCATCTCGCCATGGATGCCTGTTTAAGATTATAAAATACAATGTAAAATACAAATATCTGAGCATTTTAGAATTTGTAGGACTTAGTTTCAATAATAAAACTGCAAAAGAAGAAGAAAACAGGCTTTTGTTTTAAAACAATACAGAAAGTGAAACCTTAACACAGCCGTTCTTGTAGACTCTGCCCTTGTGCAGAAATGACTGTGAAACAGACATTAATGTTGAACATCCTTGTCAGGTATAACTGATTAAAAGTCCTCAGACCTGCAATTTTACACATTAAAAAAGGTGATGGCACTTTTGCTTTGCATTTCCACTTGTGGATAGTGGATGACTAAGACTAAATAAATCTATATATTTGTTTTTTCTGATAATTTATTAGTAGTTATTTTAACTACGTGGAGGCCCCTTCAGGGTCACTCAGCCAGCCTTAGCTCATGGTATAGCACATTAATGGGATGTAGGTGTTTGTGGGTGTGTTTTGGAGGTGTGTGTTTGTGGGTGTGTTTTGGAGGTGTGTGTTGAAGTATCTTGGCAAGATTTCAAAACAAAAGCTGAAATGCAAGGGGAAGGGCTGTGGAGCTGAATGGCGACAGGCTGCAGTGCTCGAGCATTGATGTGTACCTACAGCAGCTACCAGGAGGAGGAGACTGAGCCTACAGCACTGGAGTGTTTCTACATGTGACTAGCCTCTGCCTTGGAACATTACTGCCACCCTACTGTAGTGGAGAGTGTGCCAGCAGCAGGAGTGACCGTTCCTCTGCTTGTTTACGTCAGTGCGTGAACAGAGGAATGTCCAAACTGTGGCCTATTTACAAAACAGCTCTTCAGTTACCTTCCCGATGACATGCTAACACGAGTTGGTCCAGGCCTCTCTGATGCCAGCAGAATCCTTCTGAGTTCATATAGCATAAGTACTTTTAACAACAGTTCCATTTTACTTTTCTATAAGTAGTCTAAAGCAGTTTAAATTAATCACACACTCAGGATATGTTGGCATCCTTTCTCACTAACATGTTATGCCCTTCTAGGTCAGTGTGCTCACAAATAGTGAGGGAACACAGAGTGATCAAAACAAATAACACACACACACACACACGTGGACTTGTGGTACTAGAGGGGAAGAAAAGGGCGCATGTTGTTTTTCAAGGTGTGGTCGACGGTGTCTTTTTGCTTTGCTCTCTATTGTCTCTTCATGACATTTCCTGCGTTTGTCATTTTAACTACCCATACTTTCTTAACTCTCATCCTGATCAACCAATTCTGATTACAACAAAGGAACAATTTAACAATGAATTAAACTGGAGAGAAAAATATATAACATTTTAAAAAGATGTTAACAGGAAGGGGTGGGGGTTGTACACAGGAAGCAAACAAAAGCATTACAAGAAAAACAGGATTAAAACAAGAAATACATTTTCAGTTCACGTTTTACACTTTCCATTCATATCTAGATCTCAAAAGTAAATAATTCTGCAATGTTGTGCACTATAAAAGTATAAATAAACTATTGACTCAACTATTGCTCACAAATACAGTTTTAAGGAACTGGCAGTTTAATGATTAGTTTGCTTTTTTGTTGGATTGCTCTTGTGTAAACCTTGCTAATAAGATGTATTGAATACAATCCTTCCTGTTCCCTTATTTCAAAGCAGTGTTTTTGTTCGAATGTTTGAAAAAAGCAACACAAGCTTAAGAAACTTTTTTTAAACATATATTGTAAGTAAATACCGCACTTGTGTTTGAAGCTTTTACATTTCTTTAAAAAGGCAGTTGCTGTAAGTGCCTGATATAAAATCCATTAATGAAGATAGTAGCATTTGGTGGATATTTAAAAATGAGGACACATGAAACCAAAATGATCAGCATTGCTCAGTCAAAATAGTTGAGTTAGCTGTATAAATATATAATATTTGGTCAAACAGACCCTTTAAAATAACACCGACAGACTACAATAATCTGAAGCTTTAACAAGTTATTCAGTTAAGGATGTGTAGTACTGTAGTGTACCAGTAGGGGTCAATGTTGGACTGTCATGTTGAGTAGCAGTTTAAACAAAATTAATTAATTTGTTTAGCTTCATTTGATAAGGGTTCAGTTTTCCTCACCAGTTTGTTAAAGGATGATAAAGAGTGCCAACAAATAACCATTTCACACACACATGCTGTATCTATATAAGTTTAAACTTGTTACTGATACGCAGTGGCATTTAGAAGACAGATTTAAAGCTCCTGGTTAGGGAATATTAGCTTGATACATCAGACTGAATTGCCATTTAGTTTCACATCATTACTTAAATTACTCAAAGGTCTGGAATTGCAGGTTGCAGATATTTGTGTCATCTTTAATATTTGCCACAGGAGGTATTAGATAAGATGGAACTGGATTTAGCCATATCTATGCAATTATTGTTTAATATGATATATCAATCTAGTAAGGGTCTGTTTCAGTGTAACTTCATAAGTATGAAACAGGTAGCTTGTCTTTAAGCTTATGACAAGTTTCAAGGTTTAAAAAAAGAAAAAAGCATTTTAGACTAAATTGAGCTTAATGACAGTTTAATGGTGGTTCCCCAGGAAGAAATGTAGAAGACAAGCACTTCCATTTCATTTGTTTAAGTTAAGAGAACAAAAATAGTTTGGAAATGATCCCATAGTAATGTAATGAGATGACGGCTACGATACATCCTTGACTGTTTTATAACATCCTTGCAGCAGCAACAGGCTCAAGTATGTACAGATGCTGTGAGGAAGGACATGAGTCAGTTTGGAAAAGAAAGCCTCTTAGTTTTAATCCGTTTAGAGATGAGCGTTCACTCAATTGTTATACAAAAAATACATTAACAAAAACATTAATATATCTTCCACGGCTGACATTGCCTAAACATTTCAAAATAAAAAACACGAGGGTACAGCTCGATTCATGACAACTGCTGACAACTAAAATACATTTACTGGTCATGTACGATAGAAACAGAAGTGTGATTATCACCGTAAGAAGATCTATTCTGAAATCAATCATCAAATATTTCCTGTCTGTGTGGGAGGTGGAGGGGCTTGACAGCAACATTTAGTAGCGTCCTGTGAAGTAAAACAGAGTCTTTAGACAAAATGTAACCCTTTATATTAGCCAATAAAAGAGTAGATTATTGTGGAAATGACTCACGGGGAGAATAAGAGCGCGATCGGGACCGAGTCTTGTAATTCCCTCTGTAGTACGGGGACGGAGATCGCCTTCTGGAACCAGACAAAATAAAGACTTTTTGTATTTCCTATTTTTCAGCTTCAGATAAAATACAACAAATTGGGAAAACATTTTATAATCTGGAGGATTTATGCTAAAGGATTAATAGTCACCTGTATGAGCGTTGGTGGTCCCTGTCGTCATAGCGATCATAGCCACCTCGGTCGGATCCACGGTCGTATCCTCGGTCAGATCCACGGTCGTATCCTCGGTCGGATCCGCGGTCATGTCCGCGGTCATAGTCACGTGAATTGCGCCGAGGTGCGCTTGGACCGCTTGGACCACTTCCACTGCTGCTTCCCCCCCCTCCGCTGCACACAGGAAAGTTCAACGATGAGACAATTACATTTCCTGCAATTCCCTCTCAATTTGAAAGATTATCCTGGGGATATAGCAGTGAGAGCTTAGTTCAAATGTGTCAAGTCTGTATAGTCTGTGGTTAACGCTTGTGTTCTCTCAGCAGCACCATACAGCCATTTTTGTGGAAACAAAACTTTACCTTACTGAGGTCATGAGGTAAATCATTGCTTTTAAACAGGAAACAAAAACAATATAGGCCCAATCCCAAACCACGCCCTACACACTACACCTCCGTGACGGAGTGAACTCTGTGGAGAGACACTCGCAACTCAACGAGGCTCCCTCCTGTCAGATGGAGGGAGTAAATACAGCAAAAATAGACAAAAAATAAAAATTAATAAAGCTCTTTTAGTTTTAAACCTGATGTTTATAAGCTTCTTAGTTTTTGCAACAATCTGTAAATATACAAAACGTTATAATAAAATGCACACATTTACCTTTTTCTAGACTAAACACAGGTATGATCCTAAGTTAAAAAAACATGAGGTTATCATGAGTAGGGATGGGTACCGAGCCCCGGTATTAAACGGGCCCCGGGCTGAATTATTAAAGATCGTGTTACCGCTAAGCTCCGACATTAACTGTCTTTTTATCGGTACTGGAGACATGTAAAAAATATATGTATTATTGCTACACAAACATTATATTGCAGTTTTAGTGTTGCAAACTCCGTCTCTAATATGCAAAAAGTGTGCAAAATGCGTCTTTTTAGTATTTTCGATCTTTCTAATCCAGGCGAGAGATCTCTCTCCCCCGCCTGCTTGCGAGGGGGCGGGGCAGTTTACACGCGCAGCTGCTACATGCAGCAACACACACACGGAGGAGATGGCAGAGAGAACGCGCTCCGAGGTGTGGTTAAACTTTACCCGTCTCGATGTGGACAATGCTCGTTACCAAAAGTGCAATAAGAGTTTAGCATGTAAGGGCGGTAACACGAGCCGTTTGTCTAAACATTTAGCAAAAGTGCACCACATTCAGACGGAGGAATGCACCGGGTTCGACTGTCTTTCTAGCAGCTCTTTAGCCCCCCCATCCACGAGGAACGTTTCCGCGTCAGGTGGTATGTATGCTAGCAGCAACACAAATAGTTAACTAAATTATAAAAACATAGATTAATGATTAGAGCTAACTGAGTTATTTATTTTGTTAAAGTTTCAGCTATTCTGTTTACAGTTCTGTCATCACATTATTTAATACGATTTGTTAAAACATTGTTGTTTCTTTTGATGTGAAATACTACGTATTTAATTTAAATAAAAAGCGATATTAGTTTTGTTCACAGTTTGTTTAGTTAGTTTACCTTGTTTTTTTCTCCAAAAGAACCGATAAGAGTACCATTAAAAGACCGGACCGATAAGCGGTATCGATAAAAGTAGTAGTACCGTTAAAACCTAAACGATACCCATCCCTAATCATGAGGTTGTTAACATCGCAATTTTTTCAGTGGATGTTTACTGGAACTACTTGTAAACAGCGTGTTTCCTGACGGACACACACAGCGTTGACTCCGGTCAGGTAGAGACCGGTCTCAAGCAGGTCTCAAGTCAGCACCGCTGCAGACTCGCTGTTTGAGGGCTTGATAGCCCACTCCCCCTCCACACCGCTCCACACTCGTTGGTTCGGAACAGCACTTAATGTGGCGGACCCTCCGTGCGAATGCGCAAACGGAGAGGTAGTGTGTTGGGGTAGGGTGTAGGGCGTGGTTTGGGATTGGGCCATAATGTTTAATATTTAACTTTGATGTATTTATAAAGACCATTTAATTTGTGAACCATGATCACTACTACATCTAGAAGTACTTTCCAGCTGAATTGGACACTTTGATTAAAGATCATAAAAGTCACCTGGGCTGAATTGGTTCCCTACTGATGGCACAAAAGTATCCACCTTTTTTCACGTTGTAATAATAATGCTGGTGACTAAAAGAAGTTTGGCACTCCAATGCAGAGAGCCTTTGCTGGGGGACACCGGAAGACTTGATGCCCATGTTCTCAGTAAATTGAAAAACATTTTCAAACGTATACATACACTTAGGGTTCAAAATAAAGGTTTATAAATTAACATATAACACTAAAATAAAACAATAATATTACACATCCCTGAAACTGGCCCTTCCGCTGTACTTCAACCTCCAGACTGGGAAGATATCTGAACTAACATCTCTTTTAACCGCCTTTGCTTTCTCACTGTCTCCATCCCCACCAACTCATAAAGCTGGCAATGTCCTTGATCTCATATTCTCAAGGAACTGCACTACTTCTAACCTCTCTGTAAACCCGCTCCACACATCCGATCACTTCTTCATTTCATTCTCTTTACCCCTTTCCAAACATAACAAACTAATCTCTTCTAACTCTGCACTTGTCCGCCGTAACCTCCGTTCCCTCTCCCCCTCTACCCTTGCCTCATCGGTGCTCTCAGCCCTCCCTTCCTCTGACTCGTTCCAACTTCTGCCTCCAAACTCTGCTGCAGAAACTCTCCACTCTACTCTTTCATCCTCTCTGGACTCTCTCTGTCCTCTCACATCTCGGCAGGCTCGTCAGTCCCCTCCTGCTCCCTGGCTAAATGACGCACTGCGTGCTAATAGAACCATCCTTCGGGCAGAAGAGCGGAAACGGTGGAAATCCAAACACCATGACAACCTCCTAACCTATCAGGCTCTCCTCTCCTCTTTCTCTGCTTCCATCTCTCAGGCAAAAAGCACTTTCTTTCAAGATAAGATCCAATCTTCCTATTCCAAAAAACTATTTTCCATCTTCTCCACCCTCTTGGACCCCCCCAAAGCCCCTTCCCCCTCCTCCCTCTTGGAACCCCCAAAAGCCCCTTCCCCCTCGTCCCTTCTGTCAAGCGACTTTGTTAACCACTTTGAAAAAAAGGTTGATGATATTCGCTCTTCTTTTTCTGACTCACCTTTACTCACCGCTGGGTCACCAGACCCTCCCTTCACCGGGGATATAGCAGTGNTATATATATATATATGCCTCTCAGTGTGTTACATAAGAAATGATAAGCATACATAATTAACTCCAATAGAATACATACAAATCGAAGACTTGAGACAAACTTAGTATGTTTCCTTACTATGTGGGCCGGCCCATGTAGATTCCAGGGGTCGGGGTGTGCGGTCTCTTTGTGATGGAGAAGTCCACCCTGATCCTACGACCATCCAGCTCCATGCCATTGGCTCGCTCCTTTGCCTGACGGTGAATAAACATTGCATCACTGTTTTGGACCCAGAAAGTATTTCAGGGTTTAGGAGGGTCTTTTCAAACTCCTGCTCTTTTACCTCTTTCGCGTCAACAGAGTTCTCAAAGTAGACGAAAGCAAAGCCCCTGGAGCGCCTTGACTGCTGGTCGCACACAATAGAGACATCCGCCAGGGGGCCGTACTTAGAGAAGACGTCCCTCAGATCCCTCTCTGTGGTGTACAAACTCAGGCCAAACACTCCCACGCAGCCGTTTGGATCTGGATTAGCCTGCAATTTTAGAGATATTACAGTTGTGAAGAGTCTTTCATACTAAAAACCAAAGCTTTTGTTTTTTATTTTTCACAATTTAATTTCTTTATTCCGAGTATATTCAGACAGCATGCAGAAAGAACAAAAGCAAAACTAATCGACTTCTGAATAGGGCTGCAACCGACAATCATTTTCTTTGTCTTTTTTCTTCTTAAATGTATTGATTAGTTGTTCGGTAAATGAAATGTTAACCAAAATGCGATATGTGGATCAGTGTTTCCCAAAGCCCAAGATCACATTTAAGAAGCTGGAGATAGAGATGACAGACTTATTTTCTTACAAATTCACTCAAACCAATTAAAAATATCAAAATAGTAGGAGATTCATTTAGTAGTCAACAACATAATGATTTACGTTAGCAGGTTCTTTTACAATAGGAAAAAAAGTCATATAACCTACTCACAAGGGCCTTTGAGTACTTACGCGGTTGCCGATGTGCCGGCGTCGATCAGACATCGGGGAGCGGCTGTGGCTCCTGCGCCGGCGCTCTCCGCTGTACGAGCGGCTGTGAGACCGGCGGCGATGGGACCTCGAGCGGGAGCGAGAGCGGCTATAGTGTCTCCTCGAGCCGCGGTGCGACCTGTAGACAGAAACACCATTTTATTGAGTGAATATTTATGTACAACCAACTGCTCTAAATCGTCTCCAAAAGATAAACAAGAGGGAGTTTTGTAAAATAATAAATAAATAATGATAACACAGACACTCACCCAGATTTCGACCTGGATCGAGAGAGAGATTTAGAGCGGGAGTGGCGGGAGCCATCTTTTGAGCGGGCAGGCGACAGAGCTGGGGAACGGCTTGCTGAATTCCTGGACCCTCGTGGACTCACACTCCGGGATGAGAAGCGAGAATCCTGAAAAAACCACACACACACACACAAAATACCTTCATTAGGATAAATGAGATGACAAAGTGACGTTTGCCTAATTAGTTTTATGTAAAAAGTACAAAAAATAACATAATTTAGGATTGTGGAATAGGAATGCAGGTATATATATATTATCGATGAATAATGTGATGTCAATAGGCTTACTTTTAAAAATACAATTAAAATGTCAATATTATGGAGAAACAAATGTTTCAGTTGTGTAACAATTGTAGTCATTTTAACTGTTCAAAGACAACAACATGCACGCATTTGACAAACAGACCAGAGATTTACTTAGCGCTTTGGCCTTATCCAGATTACTTCTTTAACTTCATTTCTGTAACTTCATTACTTCACATTATTCTTCTTTCTTCGATTGTTATACTTCTTCTGACTTCCCCCATCTCACACACTGCCCAAACTTCTTCCCCTTCACATGTTTAGCATGCATTGAACAATTCAGCTTCACACATCTGAGCAGCAAATTATTGAAAATAAAGAGCACTTCTTCCGCATTTTCTTCGTCCAATCTTAACCTTAATGAAAAAGAAAAGGATGAAGAATGACTTCAACTAAAACTGCAGGATCATTCAACTTTGAACATGCAATTAAAATATCATCACATGCTTCCAAATGTTTTAGACCACACAATACAAATATTTATGAATGTAAAGTCCTACAAATATTTCACATTCAGTGGTTCTCCGTTTACTGTTATGTCTTATTGGCCACTTGTAGTTAGAAGTATACAAACAATTGGGTTGTGTCTTGACCTTTTTGTTGGACGTGAAAAACAAAATAACATTGAACCCCAGTCTCCTCTACATGTGTACGATAGCAAGAAAAAAGGTAGAGAATAAAATGAGTTGTACTGTAATTACTTATCATTTTTTACCTTTACATTTATTTTGCAACAACAAAATATGTTCCATAGAATAAAACCATTATTCAAAGTGGCCTCTAACGCATCACACTGTTTATAAAACCACTGAATGTCAAAGATTCCTATTAAAGTTTAAACTGTGTATTCATTAAGGGTTTAAAAAATGTTATCTTGGTTTAAGGTAAACCACACAAACTCCAATGCTTCTGCCACTCATTTGTATAACATCACTAGCACTGACAAGACAGACATGAAATCATAGGAGCCACATTCAGCAGAGTAAAACAAACAACTCAAACAGAATATACTAGGTGTGAATGTGAGTGAGTCCTCATGAAGGAGAAGACATTTTTCTAACCCATGTTAAACAAGGATGCCTTCATTTCATCATCTGTTTGTGTTTGAAATATCGCTGTTGGCTAAAGTTCGCATGAACACTGCAGCCTGTGGCCTAGCTAACAATGATAAGCTAACGGTAGCCAGCTAGCTATCTAAGTTAACAGATATTAGCAGACTATTATTTAATGCAACGTTAATTTGGACGTGGCTTATTGTTTTATAGTTGAGTAATGTATTATAGCGAATAAAACAAGAACATTAAAAAGTCTATGTTTGACAAAATAGCTCATAATCCAGCCTAACATTTCGACTTGAGTTGAGCTTGCTAGCTAACGTTTGCCAACAGTCAACGTTACCTCTTTACAACCTAGTTCTTTATATATTAACGCTAGCCTTCTTCAAACGTTACTCATACATACCCGCTCGCCGTAACCTTTGCCACTGTCGCTCATTTTAGTACCGCAATATCACAGTTGTTTATGCCGCTATGCTAACCAGCTAGCTACAAACCACCGTAATTTGTTTGTGGAGTGTGCTGCTGCAGGAGCGACTATAAGCCCCTCCCCCTGCGCGGCATTATTCCATGCGTTGGGCACATGACCACAAAAATAAGCAACTCAGTCTTACATATTATATTAATTAATTATTAATAATGTAACATTTTACGAGTAAGTTCTATATCCTACTGGGACCCGATGAAAAAAAGTGTCTTCCAATTTCATTTTTTTGGGATTTCCTACTTATTTAGGGTTAAAAAAACATCTTGCAATTTAGACTTTTTTAATTTAATTTGTAAATGTTACAGTATGTCCACTGTAGAGGACGTCGGGACCATATTAGTTTGAAAAAAGACAGCCAAAATTAACAGATAGACTATGTAACGTATTATGGTTATAGAGTGATATTAATACAATAATACATTCACCTTTATTTAAAACATGAATAAGTAATTGATCTGAACATTGCTTTTATTTGGTCAATAAAAAACGACTTTGTTTTTTGGTGAATCTTTCCAGATCTTCAAAGACTTTGTAGTCAATATGTAGTGGGAAAAGAACTTCATTGACTCCAGTCGGCACGGGCTGTAGGGTCATCTTGACTAGTTTTATGGATGTGGTCTCCATTTGACCATGCTCATAGAAACAAAGCTTGCATTCCTGAGGCAATTCTCATTTTTCATGGCTCCACTTAAAAATAAAAAGAACATTAAGACATACATGCTACTCTTGGCCCACAGAGGGCCATGTCTTTCCTGCTCGTCCCTATCTGTCTCTCTGTCTGTATCTGTGCGCTCATGGAGCCTCCTGCATCTTTCCCCTCTTCTTCTTGACCCTCTTCTATCCCAGGTGTGAAATCCTCATCTCTCTCATCATCTGAGAGCTCAAAATCTGAATCTCCCTTAACTATCTGGTACAGAAAATGTCTGCTTCAGTTCCGTCTCCTGCAACAATATTGAGTCATTAAGTCAATGAAGATGGTCCTGACGTCCACTAGAATGGACATTTATAAAAGGGCTGTTATTTGAAAACTTGAATTATTTAATTGCTTTCAGAACTAATTATATAGTTCCTCACATGTTAATAAACAAGAACATATATGATTTTCATGGTAAAAATTACAATTATTGAACAATATTTGACATATCCTCCTGCTTCTATAAAATGTTGTTTTTGGTATGCCAGCCATTTTGGATTAAAAAAAAGAGGAACTTCCAAGCATGCAATTTTAACCAATGACATATCACTGTAAATACCAGGATGTCCTCTGTACAGTACATCAGGGATTGATAGAGTAGCTCAAAAGAGTAAAAGGAGATGCATGTTAAACAAAATGTCCACTACAGTGAACATTTTCAATGGGCTGGGTCCCAGGAGGATATGTTCAATCAGACTCTGTCTTTCTAATAACATAGTAGACCAAACAGGCTATTGAACAATGGCTATAGGTGAAAGTGTTGAGAGTGAAATGTAAGTTAAATAAAGGTTTAACCTTGAGGGTTTTACAATCAAGCAACTGCAAAGAAGGTGTTAAAGAATTGTAATTGTGTGCAGTGGTCAGAAATGTTCACTGAAAATCTGAATAGAAAAGGGAGAAAAATACTTCTTAAAGATAGAGATGTGACAAATGAAGTGAAAAACAGTCTAATACTCAATACATTTGACATTTTCTTTATTTAAATTGAGCACGTTTGTGAATGAAGCAGAAATGGAACAATTGATTTGAAGATGTGATCTACTTGGCAGCAGTGCGTATGTTAAACTTACTACAGTGAGATGTCAGCTTTATTAGTGAAAAGCAGCTTTATATTTAGTTTATTTATATCTCAAACTACTAGATTGTACTCAGAACTGACTTCGACACAATCTAAAAGCAGGAAGCTATCTAAAAGTAAATACTAAATTAGCATAATATTGTTTCCCATAAAATGTAGGCTACTTATGACCGGAGGTTACAATTAACCATTTTCCACAGAACTTGACACACACTCTGGATCCAGTTAGTTGACTCCTGTAGTGGGGAGTAGAGAGAAAAGCAATCAATCAAAAGATAATTCAACATCATTAAAGGAGAGAAAGATATATACTTCCAGGCGAATGTTCAAATCAACCTACCACAGTTGTATAGGACATTTATTTTATGAAGATCTAGATTACTGGGTCCGTCTCGCTGGCCAATGGGAACATAAGGATCAGGTTTGGGGATGATTGTTGGTCCACCATCTTCAGAGAAGGCATATCTGGATAAAAGATACATGAAGCATATGGTATGGTGACGCCCCAGCTAAACATGGAAAACCAATAATGATGTTGCCTGAAAGATCACTCACCTTCCATAATGCATGACAGAGTTGTAGTCATATGGACTGTTGAGATTGTTTGTTGCCTGTTTCCTGAAGTTATGAGCTTGGTCTGTCAAAACATAAAAGATACAAGGACACAAAACTCATAAGAAAAGGACTCAAAAGGTAAAGAAAGTGCTCTATGGATGCAATGACATAATGCGCCAACCTGCCATGATGTTTTTCCATACAATTGAGACATAGTGGTCTCGATCTGAGCGAGATTGCTCATGTACAAAACCAAGAGCATGCATGAACTCGTGGGCAGCGACTCCTGACCACATGCAGCCAGGAGTCTGCAGTGACAGGGTCTGGCTTCCTCCAGTCTGCCCCAGAAATGACCAGCAGCTTTGGGTACAAAACGGGAAATGACCATCTCAATGGAAAATCACCATATTATAATGAAATACACAGCACATTTCAAACCACATGTAGCAATTATGCTCACCCATATCTAGGCTGAATATCAAGGAAGCTGGCTTCCTGAGTACGTGGAACAAATTTAATACACGTTCCAGCAGTAATGTCTTGCATCCCAGTTTCTATGGTGATTCTGTCCATGTCCTCTGCCGAAAAAAAATAAAAAAAATAATTTGACAAAGATTTGAATTGTCAATGCCTTTACAATGTGTTTTTACATTGGGGGATTCATACCATATATTGGAGAGAGCATGAAGGGAACATAAACAAATCCATCAACTGCTTTAGGCCACAGACAGGCATTGCCAGGGCAGGTTATGGCACTCCGGAAATACGAGCTGGCAATATCTCCATCTCTGAAGGACATTCCTCTGGGAAATCGCAACCCTAGTAATACAAAAAAATGAATAAGTCCAGGGTACACAAAAAAATGTTTGGTAGAATTTTAGAACTCAATTAGTCCTTACTGCGATTGACTTCCAGGATTTGATCCATTGCGTTCATGTCATCATGATCATGGTCTGTAAATTCGTTTGAAATCCCACCTGAGTATGTCCTTCTCAACCTAATCTTTGCCTCATATAGTCCAGTAGAATTCTGTAATGAAAAGTTACATTATGTTTTCGAAGATCGATTAAAGTGGACCTACAGCCATAACATAATTGGTACTAACCTTAACAGGTAGAGTGTACGCCTGGCTCAGCAGGCCGAACAAGACACCCAGAAGGATCATGGTAGAATGCATTTTGTGTTTGAGACTGGTGCACCAGGTTCAGTCTGCTGTTTTCTGATGCCAGAGCCTTTCCTCCACTGAGTCTATATACCCACTTCTCCTCCAGAGCTCTGCACTGATTGGGCAGTTATTCCATGATGAAGCATGATTAAGACCCCTCATCATCCAGCGTGTGTAATTTACTCAAGTCCACTGCTGATCCGTAAGAGGTGCTCTTGATGCTGACCTTCACTGTGCCCCGTACTTAGTGCATGTAAGGTTCAGCACTTTTAGAAAGTAAGACTCTTTAAAGGTGCTACAACACAGCAGGAGAATAACTGTCCACCAAGTCCAACAGACCAGCAATTTGTGTCTGACTGTAATGGCAACCAGTGATTTTGCGATAAACCATCAGTTGATAACTGGCTTGACCACAATAATTTTGTCATGAAGGTAAATATATAAAAACTAACCCTTATCCTTCACCAAAGTGAATTTTATATATTTACCAAGGGGCCAATTTGAGGGGCAAAGACTGAGGAAAGTTTAGGACATTTTGCCTGTGATGCTTTAAGAACATTAGTTCTATAATATTTCGGGTTAAGGGTGCATTGTTTCAAGAATACATTCATGTGCTGTCATACCATAAATGAGTTCCTTGCATACCCTAGTTACTCTTTGCTCAGTGAGTTTTGCTTGCCGGTATCTTCAGGCACAATAGATTTAAAGGTCACCTATTATGCAAAATCCACTTTTGCATGTATTTTATACATGAACATGTGTCCCCTCTGTGTAAAGAGATTCTGAAAGTTTCAGGAAAAAAGATTCGCTCACTTTTGGTCCTGATCCATTTATATAAAAACCTGTCTGAAAATGAGCTGATCAGATTTTGGCCACTTTATGAAGTCATACCGATGTTTTGGCTTGTGTAACCTTTAGCCAATAACCTACCAAGGTAACACCCCCCACCTTATCACCTGAATCTCCCCCTAGAGCATCATTAGGCACTTTCACACCGGATTACTTTTCCCTTTTAGTTCCGATAGTTCCTGGGATTTTGCGTTCACACCAACTTTTCAGTCCCTGCTAGAGAGCAGGTACTTTCCTGGGGAGAAAAAAGTTCCAATTTCTGATTGGCTGGGTGAATTGCAAACCACACCCCCTAAAACTCTGAAAAGTTTTGTGAAGCCGCCATTGTATTTGTTGGCATTAGCATTATTAGCATTAGCCCCGCACACCAACAGAGAGAGAATAACTTATGGCAACACACAAAAAAACATGGGAGCGGTGGAGTGATGAGGAGATGTCGGCGTTCTGGCGATTTACTCGGAAGACTTCTCCCCCAACTCCGGGGACTTCGGCTGGCAGTATACGCCGTGAAGTTGTTTGCGGCCTGCCAGTAAACCCAAAACAGAAGAAGAAGTGACGTCAGCGAATTTATTTGCGTAATCTTCCCTCAGGGACTTATTCCGGTGTGAACGCGATCTGCTCTTAGTTCCATGGGGGAACCAAGTGCTGAGAACTAAGTACAGCAAAGTACTTGTTGTGAATGCGGCTATAGTGTTCTTTTTAACCAAATATCTCGCAGAGGAGCGTGGCACCTTAAGTAGCAGACAGAGAATCAGCACTTTTGAAACAGGGCTAAAACAGAGGGGTTTATGGGATGCTACAAATGGTAGCATCCCATAGCCTACAATACACGATCTGTTTGTTATTTCGAGCCAAAGACTTCAGAAACATGTTTTGTATATATCCAAGACCTATAATATATTGATGATAAAGAGTATAATAGGAGACCTTTAAGAATTATGTTGGGTGGTTGAATAACATTGAATCTTTTTTGTATATTGCTTGTGTGCTGATTACATTAAATACAACTTTATCTATTGTGTAATGTGATCACATGACCCATGCTTTAATTGGTCAATTTTTTTATTTTACTGCAGTATACATGCAAGCATGACCAACGCAAGTAGGTTGACATTTCATTTTCTTGACAATTAAGTCATCTGTTATTGATTAATGAAATTACATATAGTGTATACATTTGGTTTTAAGGGCATTTAAATGACTTCTTCTCACTTTTGTAACCCTTTTGAACATAAGAAACATGTCTTGTTTAAACAAATTGACTGCACGCATACAGAGGAAATGCAGATAAAAAGCTTCAATCAATCTTTATTGAAATTTGTTTCTATGATTTGACATTAGATTTGTATATAAACTTTCAGCACATTCCTGTATCGCCTCAATTCAGTTTGGTCCTATTCATCCGTGATACCTGCCAAGAGACACAAAAAAAGTGATTGGAAATATCTGCCCATTTAGCAATATGTTTAATTACTAGGTTTGGTAAGGATGTTTGGTACTTACCACACTTATAAAGCTTGTTGATTTTCATCTTGTCAATGCGGCTGAGAGATGATGCCTGGCCCAGCTTTATGTCCTTGCTGTTCTGGTTGTTTTTAGGAATGATGGTTGGGGAGCCATCCTGAGAGTATGCAAACCTAAACATAGACATTTAACATCATAATTCATAAACAAAAATTATAATATATTGAGTTATCTACATTTAATTATTACTTACATTCCAAAGTGCATGATTGAGCCATAGTCATAAGGTAAGTCCAGACTGTCAGTCTTGAATTTCTCAAAGTTCCTCAAACGATCTGTTGGAAATCGAAAAACAATATCTTACCATCATTTTATTTTGTTGTTGTTATGTAATAAGTGGAACGTCTATGTTTTGAAAAGGTTTATAGAAGTGCAATTAATTAAATATATGCTTTGATAAATCGTTTGTGGAGATTTCATTACTCAATGACACCGTCCTTCCCGCCCCTTTGAAATTACCCCTCCAAATGTTTGGCCACATGATGGTGACATAGTTGTCCCGGTCAAGGCGGGACTGCTCGTGCACAAAGCCCAGAGCATGCATGAATTCATGGGAGATCACTCCAACCCGGAGGCAGTCAGGGCTCTGAAGAGAAACAGTCTGTCTTCCACCACGCGAACCGAGGTAGGACCAACACCTGGATTAACACACACACAGCAATAAATATTAAACAACTTACAGTAAAGAAGTGAGTTTAGTGTTGTAACATACAGGAAGAAATACAAAACTAAATTGTAGTTAAAGTTTTAAAACGGGGCTCTTTTATAATTGCCAAATGTATTCAAACAATGATCGCAGGTTTAATAGTTTCCAAGCAAAGGTTCTCACCCAGTCTTTGGCTGGATTTCAACGTAGTCTCGCTGGTGAGTTCGAGGAACAAACCTCACACAGGTTCCTTTCTCTACGCCATCCATTCCTTTCTTTATCATCTTTGTCTCCATTTCAGCTGTGCATTTGTTTAAACAGAATGAACAGACAATTATTCAATCATCACATTCAAAGTCTATGTATTTAAGATGAAAATTACTGTAAAGTGTGGTAATCGTTAAGACTTAAAAAACTAAAATAGCATACAGTATTTAGGTGAAAGCGAATATGCAACGTAGACATGTCCATCCACTGACTTAGACCAGAGACAGCTACGAGCAAAGCAAACTTTAGAGCGCCTTCCAGAAGAAACAGCAATGTCTCCCTCTCTGAGAGTGGTAGAGCCGTCTATGAGACGGGAAGCTGAGACAGAAATCAATTAAAATTATATATTTTTTACACATGGCAAGATGTGGTTGTTTGTTGTGTTAACTACAAAACAATTCAAGTAAAGGGTTTTCAAATTACCTTGAAATTCATTAGCTTTTATGATTTCATCCATTGCTGTCCTATCATCGTCATCATGTTCTGAAAAATAATTTGCCGTCAGCTGGTGCATTATCACTGCTATAACATATTAACATTAGATCAAATCCAAATTGCACTTACCTTTATAGCCAACGGGGCCCCATTTTGGGCTGAACAAAAGTTTCTGCAAAAGAAAAACAGAAAACGTTGTTTGCAATTTTGTTGCAGTCTGTTAAATGTGTTACAACCCAGTCCCACTCCAATCCCCTGTATACTTACCTGAGCATGTATAGTCGAAAGACAGGTAGAAATCAGGCATAAGAGGATAATCTGCTCCATCTTTACCAGTCTGATAGGTCTTCACTGTTGCCATTCTACCTTCACAAACTCCTAGCTTTATAGGTGTTCCCAATCACTGTCCATAGATAATACCCATGATTATCTCAGGTAAATTACCAGGTTACTGTTATTTGTTTGTGAGCTAGTTTAATCCCAAAATTAGTTTGATTCTTTCACAAACAACAACTCCAACTGGGGGATAATGTAAGGTCTCACTGTGGGTAATAACAGCTTCACTTCAATGACTAGCTTTAAATGAAATGGTTAAATGTTTGGCAAAGGTTTTTGGGCAATTTTTGGCTTTGGGTGTCTTAAAAACATACCAGGAGTGTTGATCTTCTATCTACTAAAAGCTATGCTTAGCAAGTTGTTACACTATGCTACTCTGCTAATATCACACGATTTACTCTCACAAATTCCAAATGTTAATAACGTACAAAAATAAAGATGTACACCTTCCTAAAATAGTGGTGGAAAAGAAAAAGCTACCGCCCGAACAGGGACTTGAACCCTGGACCCTCAGATTAAAAGTCTGATGCTCTACCGACTGAGCTATCCGGGCTCTGACACCAACACCGGAAGTGCTCTATTTAAAGCGGCGGAGGGGGTTCCAAAACCCTACACCACCCCTACAAACTATCACTCCTTTCGCGCGGAGGATCCACCACCACATTTAGTGCTGTTCCAATCCAACAAGTGTGGAGGGGGAGCGGGCTATCATGCCCTCCGACAGCGAGTCCGCACCTGGTTTCACCACTGTCCGTCATGAAACGCGCTGTTTAGAAAACGTTACTGCAAACATTTACATTGTAAAATGCGCAAAATAAGAGACATTTAAAATCGTCATAAAGATGTTAACAACATCGTGGTTAACTCGTATTTTCTTTACTGAGGATCATATACCCGTGTCTTATAGTGTTGTATGTGTACAGGGACTGTAAACTTACCACCAAAGGTTTTGAGAGTTTTATTTTTGTTAATTTTTGTCCAGGGGAGGCTGATTTCAAACCGTTTTTAAGGAATCCCCTGTTTCTGCTGGAGAGAGGGTAGTTCGTCCCAAAGCTTGCTATTTACACCCTCCACCCAGTGCTTAATTTGTCAATCATAAGGTGCCGGAACGCAAAGTACATATGACAGCTCAGGGATGACGAGACGCGTACAGGTCCCGGAACGTATACAGAAAAGGTGCTGAAAACAACATGAAAATGTCCACTTGCAACGCTGTGGGACTTACAAGCCTCAATTTCAAATAGTATCCATGGTATAAATGTTATGACGATAATTTATAATTGTTTAGGCTAGTACGCACAACATAGGCAAATGCCCACATCACCACAGGTGGGACTTCAGTATACAGCCAGCAATTAATTTCTCAACAGGTTTAACGTGTAAAAAAATATTTATTAGGCCTATTCAAAGATTGGCACGGCGGCCTATTAATAGACAGTATGTTTGCTCACCATATTTAGTTGTTTAAAACACCCCACATCACGAGCATGTCCGGATTGTCCTCTATCTCTTTTTTTCTGCTTTTAATGCGTGTGTCTGTGGCCAGCTGATGTCGCGGTTCCGCTCGCCTCTTGCTCCGGCTGTTGTACCGGGCTAGTTGATGCCAGGGTACCCACCCGTTGCTGTTGGTGGTCCACCTGGCTGACGGTAGCTGGCTCCTGTTCTGGCTGGCGGTGAACCTGACCCGCTGCTGCCACGGTGCCAGCCTCCTGCCCGGGCTTGGCTAGCTGTCGGTTAGCTAGCTGGCTAGCTGTTGCGGCGCTAACCTCCTCCTGGTTTTGACCATCAACATGACCGCTGCAGCTGCCCTCGTCGCTGCTTGTGGAGGCTTTTCTGACTCGTTTTGAAGTGTCTATTACCTCTTCCTTCTTTTTGAAGAAAGACAGTAAATTTAACTGTCTTTTTGACATGCTTGCATTGAATCACCGTTTCTTGCTCTCTGCGACGTGCTCCTCATGTGGCGAATTTCAAAAGTGAAAGACGTTTGTCCGTTGGTCCAGCTTTTCAGTGCGTCAACACAGATTTCCGACTCTTTCAAATCTTAATCTTGCACACAGGGGATAGGTTCTTGGGATTTTTTCTGTAAATTAATATCTGCATATTTTTATTCATTTTAACCATTTTTTATTTTTATTTTTGTGAGAGGTACCGGGTCTGCCCAAATAGGTGCCGGAACCACAGGGTGGCCAAAATGAAGAGGTGCCGGAATCCTGTTCCGGCAGGATCCGGCTCAAATTAACCACTGCATACGCCGTGGATACCAGAGCTGCAAAGCTGGGAAACCTGAGGCCTGCAAAGTGTGTTCCCATCCACATTTCGGATTTATCAGTTCTTGCAAAACCACAAGGCGTGTTGTGTTGGTGTGGTTGTGTGAGTGTCGTGTCGCATTGTCTGTGCATGTGTGTGTGTGTGTGATCACATTAACATGTCTGCATTACTGTGTGTTAGGTTGTGTGTGTGAGTGTGTGTCAAAGCAGTGCTGACCATGCTAATTTGCAAGCAGAACAATATCCATAAGTCCAGAATTACGATGATGTTGCATAATTAGGCTAATATTTTAACGTTTTCATTACTTATAATTATTCAGGACAAACTGTGTCAAAACTGTGTTTGTTAGTTTTATAGTTTAAAATAGATACGTGAGAGAGAGAAAAGGTTCGAGATGGACACTATCTTGTTATTATGCAATGTATGCTCTATAACATCGATAGCAATGTATATGTGCAAGTGGTGTGACAACAAGATCTATGACGTAATGTGATCTGTGGACGCAGCCGTGGCGCTGTACAAAAGGCCATGACCAATCATTTTAGCCGGCCCGGCCTTAAATAACTGGATGGGCCGACCTGCCTGTCCAGCCTTCCATCTGTGTACATAACTATCTCGTGCCCTTCATTGGTCATGTGGCGCGTTCGTGTGTGTTGGAGGAGGGGTCGTAAGGAAGTGGCAGATTTTTTCCGGCTGTGTATTTTCTAATTCTAGGCGCACTCGAGCTCGATTTCTCCAAAATTAACTAACCTACTTTTAAGCAACGTTTTATCCATAAGCCTACAATTAGCTATGGTCAACTCTTTAAATTAGCATACTGTTTCCACTCTTTATCCATTAGCTACCGTGTAAGCTAACTGTTAATTCATTTTGCTTATTACTTTATGCAAAACACTATTCATAAGCTAAACAACTACTATTTAACCCTTTTATCATTAGTTTAAAGGTCACCTATCATGCTATTTTTAGGCAATAGCATAGGAGTCTCCAGATAAAAACTATAATTTAAGAACATCGTCTGTTTTTGCTCAAAGAATACAAACAAAACAGAATGCACGCATTACCACGATGCTAATGTAAACACCTGGACCCATATTGAACGTCCAAAACGTCGGGCATTGTTTCTGATAGCAACGTTTCTGACTCCCGCCGTGGGTCACATTTTCCAGAATATTACGTCATAGTCGGACGCAAATCTGGATAGCTCCGTTGTACTCCGTTTTTTAGACTTTGGCGTACGGAGGAAAAGAGAGAGGGTTTTATTTTCTGGCTGACGCTGCGTGAGTTTCCTGAACACCAGTCCGGGGACAGGGACACATCTTTATGTATACCAAAGACATCATCAAAAGGTGCATTTTTGCTGAGTAGGGTCCCCTTTAATAAGCTAAGTGTTTGAACCAAGCCTACAAAGTAATATAGTTTGAAACCTTTGGACAGTAATGTCCCAACACTGCAAAAGAGATAAACCCCAGAGATCTGTTATATGTACTGATTACTACTCTTTATAATCTGTGACCTCAACGTTGTCAGCAGACTGTTTTTGGTTAATTCGCTTGGTCTTATTAAAAACTGTTATCCACCGGCATATGTGGTGATTTTTGTAGAGTTAAAAAATTACTACATTGAATAAAAACAATACATATTTAAAAACAGAAATTTACAGATATGTATATTTTCAATACATAATAAGATTAATACATATGGTATTGTTGGTATTTGGTTGTTGTTTCCCAGTTTTATTTATTGTCCCATGATATGTTAATTTGGACTATGCTGTTTGCTAAAAAATAAAAAGTCTTCACACAACAATGGTGCATTTGCCGGGAGAGGAAAAGGAGGATGAAGGATTTAAAACGGTGTGTGTGTGTGTGTGTGTGTGTGTGTGTGTGTTGTGTTGTGTGTTGTGTGGTGTGTGTTGGTGTGTGGTGGGTGTGTTGTGTGTGCTGGTGTGTGTGTGGTGTGTGTGTGTTGTGTTGTGTGTGTGTGTGTGTGTGTGTGTGGTGTGTGTGGTGTAGTGTACGAGGGGTGGGGTAATCACGACTGCCGCAGCAGGGGGAGGATGGGAGGGGGGAGCCCTGGATTTCAGTTCGAATTTGCGGCATCTGGCTCCTCAGCCCTCATGGGATTTACGGCAGAGGTCACTCACCGCTCCGCTGCCAGATACACTGTCACCTTATACTGACACAC